ACCTGCCCACCTCAGCCTACAGAGGGAGGCTGGTGATAGGCAAGAGGCAGGGGGTAGCCTGCCCTCTGCAGTGCCCTTGTCCACACTGGGGCCCATCCCAGCTTTCACCCTCCCTCTCATGTAGCCTCGGTTTCTTCATCTCTGCGAGTCCCTCCCTTTTGCTTGCCAACCTTTTCTTGCCTTTTTTTTCTCTTAAAGAGCCCACTAACCCAACCATTGGATTTCCCAACTTCCTTTTACTACCAAATTCTTCATCTGTGCCCATAATTTCCTTGGCTCCACTTAACTTCTGGCAGCCAGGTTCCCATACGCCCCTACAGTGTGTTCTTCATACATGTTACCACTTGCAGTGACCATTACTGCCCAAAATAAAAGCAGTGTTTATTGTTTCTCTTATTTCCAAACTGGGACAAGGCACTTCGGTGAATCCTGTCAGCAAGCACTCTCCACGTGTGGTAAGGAAGCAGGTGCTCACAGGGTAAGTCACATCACTTGTCTTGTGGCTGGACACATGGCAGGGTAGACACGGGAATCTATGTGGAGAAGCTCGTGGCATACCACATTTCCTCCTCTTTCTCCTCACTGCCAAGTTCTGCTGATTTTCATCCTTCCCAGCCTCCTGTCCAGATGACCTCCTGCACTGGACACTTTCTTTCCTAAGCTTCTGTGACTGTAATGTCTTCAGTGACTGCCTGCCTCTCTGCTTTTGTTGTCTGCCTCAGGCCTGGCGCTTTCCCCTCTCTTCCATACTCAGTCTGTCAGGTACTCTATTCTATTTTGCTGATTCTAACCAGATCTTCAACTCTGATCTCTTATGCACGTGCCCTCAGTTGTCAGAATTTTGAGTGTCCCTGGTGTTCGAGATATTCCATAGTCCTTGTCCAGCCCAACCACACAGGCACTAATGGGGGGGGGATCCTCACCTCTGACTCTCAACCTTCTGTCACACTGTCTTGCTCTTGACTCAGCCACCAGCCACCCCATCACCTCCTCAGTGGCCCAGATCAGGGAGTGCTACTGGGCCAAGAATAGGACACTTCAGCCTTTCTCCTGTAGGAGCACCACAGCCCAAAAAGGCATCACCTTGGCCCTGACCAGCTTTAATCACCTGTCCATCCCATCTACCCACCCAAGTAATGGGGGAAAGGTCAGTCTTCTTTGAGCCATAATAATTACAATTGGCAATAATTATATTGGTTACGTCTATTGAGTATATAATTTTTGAACACCTGCTCTATGTCAGTCCCACTGAAGGTCCTGGGGATTAAGCAAGTGAACAAAACATCCTCCAGCTACATGGAACTTTAACTTTACTAATTTCTAAAATGTGCATTATTTAATGTGCTTTGTATACCAGGCCCGTAATAGAAAATGTGGTTTTCTAGAGAGGAGAGTATGACAAAAGCAGAGGAAAACAGGGATAGCAGGGAAGCTGCAAGAGGTCCTTGATGGGTAGGGGGTGGGGACACTGAATCCCAGCCTTATGCCCCTGATCCAAACATTTGTTGAGACTCTTCCCTCATACTGTCCCCATAAAGCCCTCAGTGGCCTCATCGTTCTGTTCTCAAGGCTGTCTTCAGAGGCCTCTCCCAGCAGTCCTCAGGTTCCCTCATGAGCCCAACATGAGTGTAGCACTCTCCAGCTCCACACTGTACAACCCTCAGCTACCCTGGAGTCGGGCCCTTGTTGGGAGGTGACCTCAGACACATGTCTGTGACAGCACCCTGACTTCTCGCCCCTCTGTGTGGTGACAGTGAAGGTTCTGTGGTACTGAGACAGGCAGGGGCTTCAAAATGTTATAATGCTATTACAGTGGGGCTGGGCCAGGTGGGCTCTGCCACATCACGGGTGACACACTGAACTATCACCCCAGAGACTCAATTTAATGTATTTAATAAGATCTTGTTCTGGGACAGAATATGTGTTAAATACAAGGAAATAAAGGTCAAGAAGGAATGTTTCTTGCCATATAAGATTCTACTAACGAGTGGGGAAGCTGATATATACATTGGTAAAAAAAATCTGTAGCAGGAGGTGTAGAAGTTCAGAAAATGGAGACTGTGACCAACGGGGAGCTTCAGAGACTCTTTGCTGCTACCCTAGCTGCCCTTAGCATGGGTCTGTGTCCTTTCAAGTGACTTCCTAGGCCTGGCGTCAGCTAGTCACTCAAATCCCATCAGCCCTCCTCCTTGCTATTTTTTTTTTGCTCTAGCCCCATCCTTGGGGAATTTTTTTCAATTCATTTCATGAGTGGTGCTAGGATGTCAGGGTACTAACTACTGTCTCCAATATTTTAAAAACTACTAGCTTTCCTCTTACCCCTTAGTTTATCTGGCCCAATTCTCTCCTTTTGAGACACATCTCTTGGGATCTTGGATGACACTTTGGGGTAAGGGTGCTTTCCCTGCAGTCAAGACTGGTGTCCTTTCTAGGCACATCTATACCACCTATATTGCCCAGAGCACATGATTAATCAATGTTTTTAAATGATGGTACCTAAAAAAGGAAGGAGATAAAGTTGGAGTAGTCACAGATGAGGTCAGGAGGCCCAGATGGTGGAAGGTAGGGCCAGAACAAATGCTGAGAGGTGCCAGGACCTTCAGTGCCAGTGGAAACTGACAACAGTGGCAGCTGGAGCCAGGTGCTTGGGAGCCGAGCATGCAGAGACATACTCACGCTGAATGTAGGAGGCACACTCACCGAGACACAGAGAGAGGCTGTGTGGGCCAGGGAGGGAGAGGAGGGGCACCTGAATGTCCTCTGCACTCCTGATTTTCCAGACTAGGTAAAGGCTAAGGCCATCTATGGAGATGAGGGGATGGAGAGATGAAGCTTGTGGGTGGGCTAGAAGTAAGAGGGCTTTGGCTTAGGCTTGTGTGAGCCATGGGTGACGCTGAAGAGCGTGTGAGGAACACAATGGGGAGGTCAGGCATGGGCAAGGCCAGAGCCTCTGCACACTGTGCAAGGCTCAAGGGCACAGCGGCCTTGTCCCAGAGCCTCTGCTGGGGACGCAACTGCTACAGAAGCCGTGCTTTTATTTCCCTGCCACACTAGTGCCAATCAGCTGTCGGGTATCTCTTAGAGGCCTGAATGAAGGGGGGCAGAGGACCAGCTCCTGCATTCTCTGCCTTCTTCCTACTTGGTTATGTCTATAATACTCTGTTTCCTATAAGTGCATGCTAAGGAGTAAGCAAAAACAGGGACCCCAGCAGACGACTACCTTGCCTGACCCATCACCTTCCTTTCTTATTCTCCTCTCTGGGGCCAACTGTGAGTGTTTTTCTTACTCTCCTCAATCAGAGTCCCTCTTAAGTCAAATCTTTTAGCTCCCTCTATTCTAGGCTTGAGGTAAGACTCTATGGTCAAGTCCTCCAAGCCTGGTATTTTATGGGAGCTTAAGGAATTCAGACCACTTTTCCTTCTCTTCTCTCCTCCCCTCCCCTCCCC